CATCGGAATCGTCTATCTTACAAAATTAGCTTCAGGAAATTACTGAGCATGGACTTAAATTAGCGATCTAAATAATACCGATTCTATAAATTAACTCTTTTAATATACAGCAGAAAGATATTAAGTGCAAATGATAAATTACGAGAAGAGGATAGACTACACATTTTAATTTAAAACTAATTAGTCAACGGAATATTCGGGTCAAGTTCGTTATAAAGTTTGTATTGACTAGAGAAAGGAAGAGGCATGCATGAATTTTTAAATAGGGAACGATAATTTATTATTATTATTTTTAATCTCCGAACGAAGTTAATTATTGTTAATTGATGATAAATATAATCGACCAAGTAACCTTTTCTCAAGCGATAATTTTTATGACTATGATTACATTTTTACGATCGGAGACCTTTTTAATAAGAGGCCCGTTATAAGAAGAATTCGCTTCGGGCGGGAATCGAATCCGGGCTCCCTTGATGGTAACGGCTGAAACTACTTTAAAATGCATCTTTCCTTACGATATTTGAAAAACCGTATAAAATATGCTTGTATTCGAACGTCGATTATTTATTAAAATCGTATTAGATTATAAATAATGCATTGTTTAAAACATTAATGATTATTTTTATCGTCACTCATTTGTTCTCTTTCATCTTTCTATATTGAATGATGAACGGAATCGACTTCAAGATGGTTTAAATGTACAGTATTATGTGGAATGAAGGTCTTTGAAAATTAATTTTTGGAGATTTCGCAAATTTAGAGTAATGTGAGTCGATAAAATCAAGGATCTAGATAAGCGTTTATCAATATTTTGAGAATGGCAGAGAACTTTTGGTGCTTCCTCAGTGATGTGGAACACCAATATTCTGTATGCGTGTAAGTAGGTGATAGATAGGTAGGTGTAGATGATGTAGATAGCTCTATGTTAATATAAAGCATATAAATTAAGAAAATAAATAAATTTTAAAATAACTTTTTTCATTGAGCAGTGGTTCAGGGAATGCCGTTTCAGGTCTTCGAGGAGTTTCTTAGAAAAGTTGAGAAACCAGTGTTTCTCAACTTTTTAAGCTATAGTTAATGTTACTTATTTTGATTTTATTGAAATAAAAAATGTACAAGATATAAAACAGAAGTAGCCTAACAAAATACAGTATATCCATAAGGTTAGAACTGCACTCTTCTTGCTTTCTTATTTGCCAATTCATCAATAAAATCTGATAATTCTAAACTTTCACACAATTCTTTTTCTATGGCTAACAGTCATAGATCATTAAACCTTTCTTGAGTCATTGACGTTCTTAAGAACTTTTTTATAAGTTTGAGTTTCGAAAATCTCCTTTCACCCGAAGCTACACTAACTAGTAATGTCAGAAAAATTCTCAAAGTTATAAACAGATTAGGAAATGATGACAACGAGTTATTTTTTGCAATATGTGTCGAGTTTTTTTAATGCGTCTGCAACTCCACTGTTCAAATTTCTATATGTTATCAGCTCATTGAAGAGCTCAAGATCATCAACATCCTTAATTCTCGTGCTTCCTTTGTTAATGTAAATGGAAACATCTAAATCAAAATAAGATCGAAGATCTGGTTGCATTTATAAATTTAAAAAGCTCACTCAAAACATTGAGAGATTCATTTATGTTGGATTGAGTTTACTGGAACATTTTACTTACAACATCAATTTTTGAAAGAACATCGTTCCAAATAACGACTGAGCTATGGACTTGAAAGATGCAACCTTATCTAACAAATATTGAGCTGTATGTTTTGTTTGCATGTCTCGGGAATTATCATCTATTACAGGTATGTCGTTTAAACTTTTTAAGATATCATTTTAATTGTAGTCTGAGAGGTCGAATTGCTTTTATTTAATGAGATGCACAAGGTACAAAAAGCTCTAAAATTTATATTCCTAATTTTGTTTTGCAAGCCACTATGCTTACCACACATATTTGACTCGTTGTCATACCTTGTCCATGCATATCTTGAACATCTAATTCATAATCTGTTAAGAGTTCCTGTAAAAGATAATTACATAAACTGTAGTGTCTAATACTAGATAAAACTCAAGAAATAATTCTCGAACTGTAACTTCAGAAGTATCAATATTTACAATTTTTACTACAGATGACACCTCTTCAGTGTGACAGACATCTGACGTGCAGTCGAGAATTATCGAAAAATATTTTGCTTTCTTTATAAATTCCTTGATTTTTGATTTTATGCCACTTGCTAAAACAGATATGACTCCATTTTGAAAAGCATGGCCTAAGTATGAGGCATATGACTTTTAGTAGGTTGGGATTGTGTTATGTTATTGACTAATGGGGTCAAATTTCGCTAACATTTCAATAGCTTTTAAAAAATTTCCAATATTTATTTCATATAATTTATTTTTTTTACCTCTGAAAGCTAAAGCTGATAAAAACTGGACAATTGCAATAATTCTTACAATAATAGCTCTCCATCGTCTTTTTTCAGAATCAAAGTATCGTTGTTGTTCTTCATCGACTGTACAATTGTTAAGGAGTGTTTTTAATTCATACCAATTTTGCATACGTTCTATACTCGTTTCATATTGCGATAAATGAGTGGCTAAATGTCGCCAATCTGAAAATCCCTGGCTATCTGTTAGTTTCTTTTTCTTTAAAGCAAACAACTTGAAACAAAAGCAAAACACACTATTGGATTTTGTAAAATAGATTAACCAAGTTCTTGAACTTTTTCATTGTTGGGTAAAAGTCTTATATATTGTGACGCAAAAAATCTGTCGTTGTTATTTTTAAGAAATTTCCTATGTTGAGGCGATACAAGTCCCTTCTGAACAATGAGTTCTAATAACCGATTATTAATACTGTAATTGGTGGCCAATTAAAAAGATCCCCTATATCACATTCGTTCGTCAATTCAACACAATTATTATTTTCTAAATTATCCTCGCCACAGCTCGATTTAGGCACCGATGTTTCTTGACACGATTTCAAACGAATTTCATACTTGTCATTTCATTTTTCACCTTCCATTTCGTCATTATCTAAAATGAATTCTGAAGTGGCCGTTGATGCTGTCGGGTCAGCATCGTCCAACTTTACGAATTTTAGCATGGATCCTTGTAGTTTTCTATTTTCCTTATTATGTCCATTCTAGCGCTTATGATAAAACGCTCGAGACTAGGGATTGTATACCGGTTTACCGATTTACCGGTTAACCGATAAATTGACAAAAAAATATTCGATAAACTTACCGGTAAATTTTTGAAATTTATCGGTAATTCGGTAAATGAAAAATCCATACCAGAAATTTTTATATAGAAAATATTGTGTTTATAGATATTTAAAAGGGCTAAAGGGACATTGAAGATTAAAAAAACAGGTAAAGTGTAAGCAACAATATACCTAATTATTAATTTTATGAGAGANTATATGGGCAATTATGTAATTTATTTGATTGCAAATCAAACAGATTCGTTATAATAAAACAGAACCAAATTCAGATTATAATTTCGAAGCTGACATCATCGTCAAATTAATCAGGAAGTGTAAATCTAACTTGTTTTTTCATATAAATTATACGTTAGATCTATTAAAACTTTAAAGATACTTTTATAAACTGAATAGCTTAAGAATTAAATTTAAATGTTTACTTTTATTTTGGTTTTTATTGGCAAAATACGTGATCAAAAAAGAAAAAGTCTTCAAAAATGCCTTTTGATAATGGAACAACAATAAAAATGGCTTGAAGTAACGTGTATACGCGAGATATCAGTATGAAGATTTGAAGTGACTGAGCTCAATTTTTTTAATTCATAATGGAGAGCTATCCTTTGGTAACAATTTAACAATAGACGTAAATTAAATTGACTCCACACTACTCAATTTAAGAGAGTAGAAAATGTAAGCTTTATAGTCAATTCAATAACCACGAATCAGTTTGATGATTTTGTTAAATTTATTCTTGAAGAAAAAAGTAATAAGTTAAGATCATATAATCGCTCAAGAAAAAATACACTTTAAAAATACCCCATATTCTATTTTAAATATAATAGTAAATAAAATATTTAATATAAAAACTTTAATAAATTATTTATTGATTAAATTTGAATAAAATCGTATTAATGAAAGAGGAAATTAATATTTTAATCCAGAATGTGACCTGATAATATCTATGAGTTAATTAACTTTATCAATAATTATATCCTACTTTTGCCTTAGATAAATTTGCATTAATAACTAAGAAGTCGAAAATTAATTCCTATAAAAAAATTGATTATCTGGATGATATTTCATTTTTTATCATTAAATATATAAGGAAACATTCTTTATTTTTCTCTATTTTATATAAATATTATATTAAAAATTTAATGTATTAAGTAATAAATTAAAATCTAGCATTTTGCCTAAGTTCGTAAAGTGGTCACAAAGTCCTTATTGTGTTCTAGGTCTTCCATATATCTCGTCGAAAAAAATCAATAGATGATGAATGAATTAGATGTAGATCTAATAAGTTATAATCTTGTAGTTCCAACTTAACAACGAGTGACAATTCGTTCTGGAATATTGTGTAATAAACAATTTCTCAACATTTCCTTACAATAATCAAAAGCAATAAACAATAAATCAGTATAGAAATAGATACCAACAGGGAGAAAAATTAAAATATGTGCAGAATGCTTACATAAACTATATATTTTTCGAATATGTAAGGTGCTATACTGTACATAAATTACGTCTGTATTTTTCTTGAAATCTTTCCTCATTGTCCCAGTTTGTCCAAATTTCCGTAACCCCTCCCCTCTTCGGATGTCCAACAAAACTCAACCTTCCTCTGATAATAACATACTAAATAATTTATTAAGCCAAATTTGCATTAAAATAAGTAAATTTGTTTTAATGTGTATGGATTAATTTATAGCTAATAATTTTGAATTAATTAATCAAAATAAAACTTTAAAGACTTTTTTCCATAAATTCTCGAACTAATCAGATATTTTGTTACAGGTAATTATTGACGATGACTTCGACGTGGTCTGTAACGAAACGTGTAAAGTTCAAAAGGTAAAAATAAAATAGAGTAGCTTTTAAAAAATTTCCAATATTTATTTCATATAATTTATTTTTTTTACCTCTGAAAGCTAAAGCTGATAAAAACTGGACAATTGCAATAATTCTTACAATAATAGCTCTCCATCGTCTTTTTTCAGAATAAGTATCGTTGTTGTTCTTCATCGACTGTACAATTGTTAAGGCGTGTTTTTAATTCATACCAATTTTGCATACGTTCTATACTCGTTTCATATTGCGATAAATGAGTGGCTAAATGTCGCCAATCTGAAAATCCCTGGCTATCTGTTAGTTTCTTTTTCTTTAAAGCAAACAACTTGAAACAAAAGCAAAACACACTATTGGATTTTGTAAAATAGATTAACCAAGTTCTTGAACTTTTTCATTGTTGGGTAAAAGTCTTATATATTGTGACGCAAAAAATCTGTCGTTGTTATTTTTAAGAAATTTCCTATGTTGAGGCGATACAAGTCCCTTCTGAACAATGAGTTCTAATAACCGATTATTAATACTGTAATTGGTGGCCAATTAAAAAGATCCCCTATATCACATTCGTTCGTCAATTCAACACAATTATTATTTTCTAAATTATCCTCGCCACAGCTCGATTTAGGCACCGATGTTTCTTGACACGATTTCAAACGAATTTCATACTTGTCATTTCATTTTTCACCTTCCATTTCGTCATTATCTAAAATGAATTCTGAAGTGGCCGTTGATGCTGTCGGGTCAGCATCGTCCAACTTTACGAATTTTAGCATGGATCCTTGTAGTTTTCTATTTTCCTTATTATGTCCATTCTAGCGCTTATGATAAAACGCTCGAGACTAGGGATTGTATACCGGTTTACCGATTTACCGGTTAACCGATAAATTGACAAAAAAATATTCGATAAACTTACCGGTAAATTTTTGAAATTTATCGGTAATTCGGTAAATGAAAANGGCAACTTCGTCAATTTCTCTCTTCTTGTAAAGTTGTAATTATTTTAATTATTTTTATTTCCAAACTGATTTTAACCAGTTCTATAGTAAGGTAACATTCCAATAGACAATATGCAAAGCTTTTTTTTCAGTTTACAGCAGTATTTATTACACAAAATTTAAGTAAAGCTTAACATGCCGATCTTGCCCCGATCTCCCCTAAGTTATATAAAATACTGTTTATCAAACGCCAACAATAGGAAATAGCAACGATGTTCTCATAATAACTAGACTTATGTGGATGTCCTGTAATAATAAGTTTCTTAGAATCATTGTATATGGAAGAATGATCCAATGTTATACTTATGTCATTTCTGATTCAGTATGTTTGCCTTGCATGTTTGATAATCACTTTCCTTTGTTTCTTTGACTGTCACTATAGTAGAAACGAAAGGTTGTCTTAGATAACGAGGACAATTCATCGACAATACTTAATTCTCCAAACAGCAATTTTCAGACGTTGAGTAACTTTCCTATTTGTCTGAGTTCATACCATCTTTTCGTACGAGAACTTTTTTGATTGTCGGTTACGCTTTATTAAACTTAAACAATTACTTTAACGACTAGTCATTTTCACTAGTTGCAAAGAATTATATTGAGGATTGGCCGATTATATGGGCAATTATGTAATTTATTTGATTGCAAATCAAACAGATTCGTTATAATAAAACAGAACCAAATTCAGATTATAATTTCGAAGCTGACATCATCGTCAAATTAATCAGGAAGTGTAAATCTAACTTGTTTTTTCATATAAATTATACGTTAGATCTATTAAAACTTTAAAGATACTTTTATAAACTGAATAGCTTAATAATTAAATTTAAATGTTTACTTTTATTTTGGTTTTTATTGGCAAAATACGTGATCAAAAAAGAAAAAGTCTTCAAAAATGCCTTTTGATAATGGAACAACAATAAAAATGGCTTGAAGTAACGTGTATACGCGAGATATCAGTATGAAGATTTGAAGTGACTGAGCTCAATTTTTTTAATTCATAATGGAGAGCTATCCTTTGGTAACAATTTAACAATAGACGTAAATTAAATTGACTCCACACTACTCAATTTAAGAGAGTAGAAAATGTAAGCTTTATAGTCAATTCAATAACCACGAATCAGTTTGATGATTTTGTTAAATTTCTTCTTGAAGAAAAAAGTAATAAGTTAAGATCATATAATCGCTCAAGAAAAAATACACTTTAAAAATACCCCATATTCTATTTTAAATATAATAGTAAATAAAATATTTAATATAAAAACTTTAATAAATTATTTATTGATTAAATTTGAATAAAATCGTATTAATGAAAGAGGAAATTAATATTTTAATCCAGAATGTGACCTGATAATATCTATGAGTTAATTAACTTTATCAATAATTATATCCTACTTTTGCCTTAGATAAATTTGCATTAATAACTAAGAAGTCGAAAATTAATTCCTATAAAAAAATTGATTATCTGGATGATATTTCATTTTTTATCATTAAATATATAAGGAAACATTCTTTATTTTTCTCTATTTTATATAAATATTATATTAAAAATTTAATGTATTAAGTAATAAATTAAAATCTAGCATTTTGCCTAAGTTCGTAAAGTGGTCACAAAGTCCTTATTGTGTTCTAGATCTTCCATATATCTCGTCGAAAAAAATCAATAGATGATGAATGAATTAGATGTAGATCTAATAAGTTATAATCTTGTAGTTCCAACTTAACAACGAGTGACAATTCGTTCTGGAATATTGTGTAATAAACAATTTCTCAACATTTCCTTACAATAATCAAAAGCAATAAACAATAAATCAGTATAGAAATAGATACCAACAGGGAGAAAAATTAAAATATGTGCAGAAAATAAAAAGTAAAATACAGATAACAGATAACATTAAGTAACATGATTGGGATTTAGTGATTATTATTCACTAAACATTTTAAAGGAAAATATATATATATATATATATATTTAATACTTGACCGATTTTTACATTTCTTGTTTTAGTGTCAATAGCATTGACCTTACATGCTTGACCCAATCTTTAAATCCCACTGACCAAATGACCATACAAATTTATAAAATTCCAACGAACGATTTCTTTTGATTATTATTATAAAAATAAGTTTTCGTATAAAATATAAAAGCTAATTAATTTTTTAAATCTTAAATCTTTATTTTATTATTCTGAAGTTTTAATGTATCATACTGTAAAAAATATATACAAATTATAATAAAATGTAGTAAAATATATCTTATAAAAAGTTAGCATTTTATAAAAATTTTCATTATGATAATATTTAAAATAAAGGAGAACTGAGATTATTTTTGATACTGTTTAAGATATTATGAAATAGCGAGTTTAAATATGATGGCAATCTTTAATTTTTGAGAAATTTTTAGTAATTTAATTTAGTGTCTTTATTAGATTTGTATTAAGTATACAATCCAACATAAATAGAATTACAGAAAGAGCTTTCATAACCACAACATAACAGAACCTTCTTAAAGTTCGAGAGAGAACGGAACCACTTACCTTTTTGAGGGTACTATTATATTAAAAAAACAAAAAGTATTAAAAATTATATAAATTAAACAAAGATTCAATAAAAAAATAACTTGTACCAAATGCTTTTAAGGTCCTATAAATGCAAAGCCCGGGTCATATGGTGCTTTCCCTCTGTTATATAACCTAAGCAAGCAGAAGGCATGTTTTTTGTCTATTGTACACATAATCCTAACTTGAAAATTTTACAATTATTAACATAATATGGAAGAAGGAATTTCATTATTCTTTACATACTTATACTGTGCAATATTGTCAATAGCTTTAATAAATAACAATAGTCGACTATTAAATATTTCTTGCATTAGGTATTGTTTCCGGAACATCTGGCACTATACGGTATTGAATCTATTGTTTCAATTTCCTATCATTCAGAACTTTCCGATAATTTCATTTGGAAATATTTCTTTCTGGTTAAAATACAAGGATGTTTAAAAAAAACTTTGAATGTATCAAGCTAATGTATCAATCTGTAACTACAATGTAAAGGAAATAAACAGTTAACAAGAGAATCGGCGTCGAAAGTTAACCATATTTTTCTATTCGTCTAGTTTCATTAGAAACGATGTTGCTATACAGGATGACATAAAACATTATCGGCTAATTAAACCAGTTAATTTCGTTTTAATAGAGCTATTAAATTATATCGCAATATTTCTTTTTTTAATTGAGTTAATTTTTATTGGAAATGATTTTTTGCTATATTGCTTAGAATTGTTAATTATTTTTTTCAAAGAGAAATAAGAATGAAAGGTGTATACATAATGCAAAACTAACAAAATTCTCTATTGTGTAATAACAACTATGCATTCATTGAAGATGTTGCAATCATTCAAAATCCGATTGTCCTGCATGGATATGGATAAAAATGTCTCAAACACCATCATCAAAAGATCTCATAAATTAAACGACACTGTAATACGATTCTGTGTATAGAGCTGAGAAATTTCCACGAGGAGTTTGATTCAGATATATCGGCCCTGTCACTTATCGTCTAATTTCCATGTGGGATTTGTTCGAACTGCTGATGGATAGACCAGAAAAGCGAAGAGTTTTTTAATAATAAACGCATAAATTAATGAAAATTTATTAATGAATTTGAAATTTTATGATGTTATATCGAATATTTTAATTTTCATTTCCAAAATTTTCTTTATGTGATTCGGATAAATTGAAAAAATAAGCTTAATACTTCAAACAATATCGTAATTTATCTGATAAATAAATGCATTTCTTATAAACATAACGACTCTTTGTCTTTAATTTCTTCTAAGAATATATCATGGATACATTTATAAAGAAGACAAATAATTTTTAAAGCAGTGTTATATTCTTCCGCCATTTTAAGTTATAAAACAATAAAAAATCATTAATATTTAAATTTAAAAAATTTTTAAAAATCAAAAAATGCCTACCAGTAATTAAGTGGATGAAACCGCTGAATACTGGTAATAGTTGGTCGTAGATTTGCACCTATGGGCTGGCCACGTGGAGTTTTCGGTGGTTTCACCACATGTCTAACATGTAAATAGGGATAAGTTTCCCATAGAAAGTCCTCTTGGCAGATCGCCCACGTTTTGCATTCTCTTATCACATCAAATCAAACCAAAAATAAAAAATAAATGAATCATAAACTTTTTATTGAGAAATTTTCATAAATGCATTTTCATGCATTTAAGAAAAATTCTCAACAAAAAGTTTATGATTTGCATTCGGACAAAAGAACTTGAACAGGAACAAATACAAATCTGGCCGTCAATTGTATTATTTTTTATTTCTCTTCGTAATAAAGTTAATTTTGATTGGGAATTACTAATATCTCGGAGACTATTTCGATATGACTATAAAAGTTCTTCAAAATTCGAAATTGAGGAAGAAGATGATCTAATTAATAGCATCAAGTTCGTATCATTTTTACAAATCCAAATATTAACTGAATCTTCTTAGATGATAATTATCGCCTCTCATCGAGAAACATTTCAACATAAAGAGCGAAAGATTAGTTAAACTTTGAAAAAGAAAATTAATAGAATTAAATTAACATTAAAAAAGAATTGGAAGATCTCAGAAATCATCTGAAAGCGATACCGATTCTAAGTTTTCTCGAGAAGATTCAGGCATTTAAAATAAATTCGAAAAAAGCGATTTGAACGAAAACGATTTACTAAAGCACTTGTATTGAAATTATTTTTATTAATGCCAATATTTCGTTATTTAATGGTAATTTCTATGTGTGGATTGTTAATTCATCTATGTTATGTATCTGCAGCATATCTGAAGAGAAAAAGAAAACTCAGAGGAACAAACTGAATCATCTAAGCTTCTTGAACGACACAGGATGGATGAAAATTTCTAACTGGATTCATCGTTCATTGACATAATAGGATCAAACAGATTCTTAAAAATAAAAGTTAAAAAAAATATATTTTGAGAATTATTTTCTTTTCAATTCTGTCAAAGTATTGATAATGTAAATTTTTTCTAAAGTATGTTTTGAGTTATTTAGAGAATTGATTTAATTTGTATAATTATTACTTTCTATTGAGTGAAATTTATTAGTTGAAAGTTATTAATGGAATTCATTTCTTATTTATATTGTCATATTTTAATGTTTTTATAATGAAATAAATATTTAAGTTAAGCTTTTTTTCTCTTTCTGTGCCCTAGTTAGCTGACAATATCACGACTGTTTAGAAAATGAAAGAAAAAATCTTAAAAAACTAAATAAGTATTTTATGTATTAACATATCTGGAAGGTGTAGCGCCAATTAATATTGATGCTCTTGAATTTTCTTTCCATATCTATAATTATTTCCATTTATAACTATTTAAACTCAAGACCAGCAATTGCTAATTATAAATTTAATTTACTATTTGGATCGCTTTCTTATTGACTGCTTTTAGTTATATGACAACAATTGAAGAGTATTAAATTAAACAAATTAGTATTGTCCGATTAATATTTTGTTTTTTGTTACTGAAAATAATTATTTATACGCTTAAATACTGTATTTCAATGTTTTGAATTATCGAAGTATAATTTGAAATTCAATCTAACGATGTTTTTATAAACATTTAAAATATTTTAAACAGGCAATTAAATATGTTGTATGTTTCTTTAATAATAATCGATATATTTATATTAATTTGAAACAATTATTGACTTGTGAATGAATTTTATATTATTATGTAGGCTACAGTAAAAATTGAGGAGAAAAATATTCAGCTTCTTACGATAACATTTAAAAAATATATGCTATTATATAAATCTAAGAAATGAATTAAAAATTAAAAAAAAAGCATAAATATCTGCACGTTTGATTATGATGTTTATGGAATCAAAATTTCATCTTTGAAATGCTGAATTGAAATGAAAAGTAAACGCTTGAAAGACGTTACGAAGCAAACAATCAGCTATAAGTTGCATTACGTAGTAAAACGGTAAGAGCCTCTATTGTTTAAAAATTCCGAAGATAATTACGCCGAAGATTATACTGAATCACGAGAATAACAGAAAATTTATTTAAAATCCTTTATTTGACTGACAATAACTTTCGAAATAAACACGCAATAAAATGGCAACTTATCGTTATTGGTAGCAGAGTTTGCATATGGTTCGGATACCAAAATATATCATGGAACATGTGTAGGGACGTATATTTCATTCTTCATTCTGAACGATTCCTCTTGCCAGTCGAGTCTAACTGTAACGGGCGAAACTATGATTGTCATGTAGAGTATCTCATGTTAAATCAATCGAAAGTCAGTGAGCAATTTGATACTCTGTATTTGCAATATTTTTTAGTTTTCAAATGAATAAGTTTATGCATTTAATTTAAACACGAAAAATTACTAGAATCGAGATAACTTATATCTAGAAATGAAATTAAACTGCAATTGAATTAGAAATAGATCCAATTTATTTCTATTTGAGAATCAAACATAAATTATCTTAATGAGTTTGATCAGACAGCCGCATCATTAGGAATTCTTTCGCTACAAGAAATCTGGAATCATATCCAGTCCAAATATCTGTAATAATTATTTCTATCACTTTATTTTGAATTTGTTGGACTTGATGTTCGTGCAGTCATGATTCGTAAGATCAAAAACAGATGACATGTCGTATTGAACTTTTTATCTGATAATTGTTTTGATTATACAATAATTGGAAATTGTCGAATTACAGTATCATTCATTGTCTATAATATGGTGCATGGATTAAATAACACAAATTAGAAAAATGAACCTTAGCTGTTATTTGGTTTTAAATAATATTTACACATCTGTAAGAACTAGTAATATGTTTATGTATTAACGTAATGTAGACCTAACCTTGTAATTCTAACAAGATTAGGACTATATTTTTTATCCATTATCCATGTTGAACAAATTGAAGACAACACTTGTCCATGAAGCAAAATAAATTCCAATAATAACTGATGGATGGACTATACTGTAGTCCATCAATTGTACTTAGAATCTCGTGTATGAAATTAATCTAATGCAATCTTTCCTGGTATCAAATCTGTTAATACAATAGTCAAACAATAGATTATCACTTTATTTTGAATTATTTTGAACGATACAAATCAAATACTAGTATTATGGAAATGGAGATCTGATATTGAGAATAGAATTGAAAAATGGGCTCTGGTAAAAAAACACTGGAGCCATGAGAAAAGCTGTGAGAAAATATACAGGGTGAGCCATAACTGTTGGTAATAAATGCGTACACCTAAAAACTAAAAGTCTGAAAGACATAATCATAATCCTTAGGAAAGGATACAGCAGGCTTACAACTAGTATCGGATCCAGAATCCTTTAGAGAAGATGCAGAAAGGAAACGAAATGCGTTACAAAAGTTTTTACTACCTGAGGTACTCGACTTTACTCGGGAAAAATTCCCCAGGAAGGGGATGAAGCTGCGCCCTCTATGCACTCGCAAATCTGCCCTGGTTATAGCCTATTTTATTTACGTGCCTAGGGAAAGATATACAAAGTCAGTGACATTCTTGGCCACACAACAAATTTGAAATGTAGAAAAATTCCACGTGACAACATGAAGACTGGAATTGTTGTGTTGAAACACCACAAAAGTTTGTCAAAAATTGATTTATCGTGTTTTTAATGGAGCACACCATTGAAAACACGATAAATCAATTTTTTGACAAATCTTTGTGGTGCTCGAATTAAATTTTTGCTCAAAAATTTGCATACAATATCCTTGTCATCTATACTACTGAAGCGATTTCATGATTGTCATTCATTGTAGACTATATAATATGCTTTGTTTTTCTCTCTGTACGAATGGAAAATGACGAATAATTAGTTTCAACGAATTGGCAGACATTCGTTTTTTATGATCGTGCAAATGCACAAAAGCATAACAGAAGCGTATCGTCTTTATCACGAAACTTTTCCTAGTCGCTGAATTTCAGATGGGAAAATGTTTACCCATAGTCATCATCGTCTAAGAGAACAAGGATACTTTTCTGTAGTGCAACACATGCAGGAAGGCCACGAACATGCAGAACGCCACAAAACAAAAATAATATTCTCAATCTGGTAATAAATGATCCGCATATCAACTTAAGAACACCTGTTTCGTAAACATTAACTTCTCAAATAATTATCATGTAAATTTGCGTGAAAACCGTCTTCATCCCTATCATTTTTAACGTTCTAAGTTCTGACACCTGACGGATTTTCCACCTAGAGTACTGCCAGAGGATTTTGCAATAATGCGTGATAAACCATCTTTTCCTGTCTAATGTTCTCTTCACGAATAAGAAAATGTTTATAAG